AAACTATTAGTTTTATAAAAAAATGTATTAAATAAAAGTTGTACAGTTTAAAATGGTCTAGCCACTGGCTTCATCAGTTTGACTTTGGGTGGCATCGCCAAGGTCATGACAACGTCCACACGGATTTTTTTAATGAGACCCCCCACTTTTTTCCATTTTCTTATAGTCCTTGTTGAGACCTTTTCAAAACACTATAATTTTATCCATTTTAGGTCAGCCGTTTAGAAGTTATTGAGCATTATATGGTGAAATGTCAGCAACTTTAGGTGAATCAAACACGAAAACTGTTCATTTTTTTTCGCTAAAACTTATAGGTTTTGTTCAGCAGGTCATAAGCTATAACATATGAGAAAACCATTTGATTTAACCGAAATCCAATTTCATATAGGATTAGTGCGGGGTCCTTTTGTTCCAAACATCTTTTCGTAAATTCCATTTGAGAAAAATCTTCTGGATTACATATGATATACAATAGCTCCTGGCAAACTTGGGAAATTGTTCATTCCAGATAAACAGACATGTAAACCATACCAAACATCTTTTCGTAAATTCCATTTGAGACCACAAGAAAACCTCGACAAGAAATGCATCATGAAACGTATCTTTAAATTATAAGTTAAATAATAATGTACGTACAAGGTCGAACCTCCTCGAGATTGATAAAAAAATCATTCAACGCATTTTTGCACTACCGTGAACCGAGTTATTAATTGTTATAATTAAATTTGACAGATATCCAGAGAAAATCTGTTGCATCGATGGCATAAAGTATTAAATAATTCTGCTTTACAGACAAATATTTAACCAAGACAAATACTCTGCTGTAATCTATGCCATTGCTATGACAGATATGATTTCCTAACCTGAATAGTGATCAACTTTAATGATCTCGGTCCACGGGGTAAAGCGATACATTTTTTTTTGTCAGATTCGTTCATTTCGTGCAAAAACGTGTCGAGCAAGTCTAATTTGTGTATGTAGAAGCAGAAAATCTTTTACGTGTCCTTCTACTATGCCATCGATGTGACAGTTTTCCTAACCTAATCATCAGCCACAGAAAACAAACACATGTGTGATGTGACCATGCACGTTGCCAGCGCCACATTTGCCTCTTGCGCCAAAAATTCCAGAAGGACATTACCCCCACCACTTCATAGTGGCGACGACGACAATGATGACTATTCTTAATATAAAAGTTTCAGATTCGTATTTTGCGTCGCAATATCTCCGCTCGTAGAGCACGTAGAGGAAAAATAAAAACACTTTCATTATATATCCCGAGCGGTTGCAATCGATTGAGCACACTTAGAACTTGATCGGTTCAGCCCTTATTGAGATCCGATAATCTCGGTTTGCTGTAACTCGCCGGCTCGCGTAAAGTAGCCACGGTAGTGGCGCTGCGCGTAGCTTAGCGCAGAGACACTACCAGTGTCTCCAAATATGTACATTTAAGTAGCTGTAGAGGAGGTTTTAAAAGAATTAATTTGTTAAAAATATTTGTAAAAGTATTTTATTCCAACACTTTGTATACAAATGTCACAGAGTGCCTAATAAATAATAAATTTATTTTTACCAGATTTGAAAACTGTTTAAATAATTAATTATATTCATTGTTTCTTTGTCCGCATTAAAATAATGACATTGTATTTCAATTCCTAAAAAATGTTATATTTTTTTCATTAAATGTTAAACATACTATTTTGTGATCCTCAAAATTCGATAGAGACAGAACTTTATGACCATGAATTCCTTGATTTTATTTGTTTTGCAAATTTCTGAGTTTTCTTGTTTCGTGAACTAATGATTTCTCAGTAAACATTCTCTTCGAACAGGATTCAGCTTTTAGAATTAATTAAAAACAAAGTATAGATAGCGAATTAGTTGAAATCTATCTCACATACGCGCGTGCACGCACGCATGCACACAAATATTATCGTGTATGCATAGAGTATAATATGTAGAGACACACACATATACAATACATATATTTCGTAAGCGCATGCAATTTTCTTCTAATTATTTGCTTTCCGTTGTGCCCATATACCATTTTACGCGGGCAGTGGTAACGCTATTGTTGCGGCGCGATACTGGATTGATGGAAATAATGGTGTAGGTGGAAAACAAAGAGAGCTCGACTACGTCACTGTCGACCACTATCAATTATTTTCAAATTACGAATTTCGCTAGCATATAGTACAATTGATTTATTCACGTCGTCGAGTACCGGCGCCATTTATTCACTATAACGTCCATTTTATATGTTGCCATTTTTCTCGAGCTTTTCATTGAAAATTGAATGAGGCATAAGATAAAGTCATTAAGATTTTTTAAATCTCTTCTTTTCTATAAAACTGTATCTCTTGTTTATACTTTTATATGAGTAACAGATATGTATGTATATTCGCACAAATATTCATTTCCAATTTTATTTTTAGTTTCATCGTTTATATTTCACGATAGAAAGATTTTCTGAATATTTATTTATAAGAAAATGTTTTTCTTATTTTTTAATTTTTTTTTCTCTTGCTCAATAAACAATCACGAAGTTTAATGTGCATATTAAATATTTAAAGTGGATAAATAAAAAAAAAGTTATTTATTGGTATGTTGCAGCGTACAGCTTGTGAAGAAATCGAAATGGTAGAGTTGTGTGGTAGCGGCCAAACTTCTTCGGCCATGGGAGTAATGGGTATCAGTTCAATGGTGACCGCGGCGACGTCGTCATCCTCTTCGTCGACTACCACGACTACAGGTGCCTCATCCTCAGCGTCAGGACGTGCGGGCATTCTCGAAACTCAAGTGCGCGGTCAGTGGTATCGCGTATTCGTTTCTTTGGAAGACGATTATCTCAGTATTTCGCTCGATGAGAGTTGTGAGACCGGTAACAACGCCCTGAACAATGGTAACATCAACAATAACAATGTAGACAGTTTGAACGATCCGGATGTGCCCGATTCGGTAGCCAATCAAAAGCGCATTGTCCGTGTGGTCAAAAGTGACAACAATGGCTTAGGAATTTCGATAAAGGGCGGCAAAGAGAACAAAATGCCAATTCTCATCTCGAAGATCTTTAAAGGCATGGCAGCGGACGCTACTGAGCAACTTTACGTTGGCGATGCTATTTTGGCGGTAAATGGCGAAGATCTACGAGAAGCCACACACGATGAGGCGGTAAAGGCGTTGAAGAGAGCCGGCAAGATCGTCGAATTAGAAGGTAGGAGGCTGTTATTTGCTCTTAATATCTATATTTTAATCAAAGTAGAATGTACGTAATCTGCCGTCGAAATTTTTGGAAAGTATCATGATTACTTCAGAATATGGCATCATCACTTACATTACACGGACAACGTGTAGTTTGCGTCATATTATATAGCAACTACATTATACGGGAAACATGCGATATACCAATTTCACTCGTGACGCATTGTTCCTCGGTAACTTTGCGCACAAGTTTCATGGATCCGTTCCTCGGAAGATAGATATACTGAGCGATACAAAACATTCTTGACATATGCAGCATTAAATTCCACGTCTTTATTCGCACTCTATTTGTGCCGTTTTTCATCCGTCGAGTACTTAGGAAAGGATTAGAGAAAAACAACGAAAGAAAGAATGCATTTGTAGCACAAGCGCTACCTAGGGCTTTTAGTTAGATTGGTGCGTTGGATATATCTATATGCAGCCGTGTAAAAGAAAAAAGTCAACTTTTTTATATATATGGCGTATTACTATCTTGCAATGTTCTTTAAAAGTAGAGAGAAATCTGAAAATACATCGAGAGAGAGAGAGTGGAGGGGGGGGGGGGGGAGGGGGGAGAGAGGGGGGAGAGAGATGTTACGAAATCGGAAATATACAGGGTGTCCCGAAAATTTAACTCGGTAAAGGCGATTTTGTATGCGATTAGTCTTCGTCAGGGTTAAATTACGTTCGTGACATTTTTTCCTATGGCGCATTCATTATGTGCAGGACTATAAAGTTCACAAGCGTCGCGAGTGTCGAAAGCCGAAACTTAACTCGAACTCAAAATCGGTCTACCTTTATTTACGAAGGTGGAATCTCCTTAGTCTTTCTTCCTGTTAAATATTATACTATCAACTTTATAGAAAAACAAAAAGTGTTTATTTTCTTCTCATAAAGCTCTGTGAATTTTTTCAGAATTTTTTATACCGTATTTTCTCATGTTAATAAAAATAGTTGCCAATGTAGGTATTCTATAAGAAAATGCCACACACAGTACTAAAAAGTTAATAAAAAATTCTAAAAAAATTCTTATAGTTCTACGAGAAGAAAATAAACAATTTTTGTTTGTTGCAGTTCTTCTGTAAAGTTGATAGTATTTGATAAAAAAATTATTCAAGACCAATATTCGGCAATTTTTAGTAATTAATATCTTGTTAACTGTTGCGAAAATTGCAAAATGGTACACTGAGAAACCCATTTAGTTGAATCAATTAATTTCTTGTTTGGATATGGGCAAACAAATCCTTGGTTGATTCAACTAAATGGGTTTCTCAGTGTAGACAACTTTTCGGTTTAATCCGCTGTATCTACACAAGAGCGTTTGGTAAAAAATTTCGGGACACTGCATATATTTTTCAAAGGTTTATTTAATGAAAAAACATTTTCGATTTTAATTAGTTGTTACATTGAAATGAAATTTAGTCATCAGAAAAATTGCGAAACAGTAATTCGGAAGTTTTCTTTTCCTTTTGCATGTTTGCATATTTTTGAAATTTAAATAATTATGTATGTCACTTCTGAGCAATTCTGATACTTCATTCTTTTTTCTCTTATTTTTGTATCGTCAAAATACAATCGTTTTCATGTCTTTCACCAATTCATTCTTTCATCTTTGCATTCTGCATCAATCACGTGGAAAATAAATCAGATTTGAATATGTAAACCTCATGCATGTGTGGGGTGTGTGTGAAGGCACCCCCATCATTAAAATAATTATATAGAATGCTCAAACCGATTGCTTATAGGATATTAAAAAACTTTTCCCAGCATTACTCATGCTCGAGATTACTACGTAATTATTTTGGTCAAACCAAAAATAATTTTCAAATTTGTAACTTGCTAAATTTTTATATACCTGAGCAATATTGTGTAGACACGAACATTATTTTACATTTTTACTTCTTTTGTACTCTTTCGTCGCATACTTGATTACTTTACCACTCTTGTTTGCGACGACTGTGACTATCGTTTGTTTCTAATCGGGCCTGGGAATGCATTTTTTGCACTTTACATTTAATATTTCGTTCCTAATACGATGTCCTTCCGAGTTCTTTCAATACGGAAGGCTATCATATTTTGTCATATGATTGTATGTGTACTACTCGTTATTTTCTTGCATCTCAAAAGCTCGAAAATGCCGCGACGGTTGTTACTGGGTTATTTCAATTCGAAACTCTCTTTTCTTTCGTTTTCTTCGCACATTCTACCTACAAAAGGGCGCGACAAGAGAAATTCCATCTTGACGAATGGAGATTGCCGATGGCGCGCATACGTCTCGAAAGAACCACTTACAAGATGCAGCAAATAATGAAGCGCTTTCAATTCGGCTGAATCTTGAGTCTCTTCTATGAAGAGGCACTTTTCGCTTCATACACTTTATTTTAATGAATGTACTTATAATAGAAATTTAATAATATCTATCATTACTTAGTTAACTATTAACGGAATATGTACGAGGGTCGTTTGAAAAGTTTTGAGCCTCAGCATGAAGATGGCGTTACTCGTCAAAACACCCCTGTTAAGCTAGCCCCCCAACAGCGATAAATGAATCCTAACACATACCAAAATTAGGTGCTAATTAGGTGCTAATTAGGTGTTGAAGTGCGAAATTAGATGCTCGAACAGTTTGACAGAAAAAAAATTATTGGGGGGGGGGGGTGTGGGCTAGCTTAATATTAAGTTAGCCCCAATAAAAAAATAAATAATTATTACGTAAACAAACAAAGCAAGTACATCAGAATTAGGTGCTCCAAGAAACGACGAAAATAATTCGAAAATATATATCATATACTGAATTATAGGTATACAGAAATTAGACGTCAGTCGAACAGTCGGCTCACAAGAAAGAAATTGCCTTAAAAAATTAGGTGCTCAGACAAATTTGATGTTAAAATATTTGTTTTTTAATATTATTTAAGGATATCTAGCTGTCGAATTAGGTGCTCGTTCCGTTCGACAGAAATTCGATCTCCAATATAGATAACGCGGTCAACTCACAAGAGAGAAGTTGCCTTAAAAAATTAGGTGCTCAAACAAATTTGGTATTAAAATATTTGTAAACGTTAATAAAAGTGGCTTCAAATTAATAAATCAACAATAAGGAGCATTCAGCCACAACGCTAGATGTATTCAGTTATAGTCATATATTTAAAATTATAATTATATATAGACGTTTCGGTCAATATTTGACCATCTTCAGTATAAATATAAAAAAGTTATTACAATAAACACAATTAGATGAAATCTCAGGTCCAAATGAAAAAGTTGATATACATATTGTCAGATGGATTAACATTAATTAAGAAATTACATGAAATACGCTGTGTTATACAATAACGCGAAGAACATTTCGTCAAAATTATGTGATAATTCTTCTAAATGTGAGATTTTAATCTAACATCTTGTTTGAATACACGATTTCCAAATACACAGATTAGTGAAACGCATCCTTGAATAGCAATGAGAGCAAAACCATGATATGATAAAAGAAGAACTTTTTTTCCGTTAACAAGACTTGGAATGAGTGTACATAAACAATGTTGACAGTCAACATTGTTCATGTACACTCATTCGAAATCTTGTTAACGGAAAAAAAGTTCTTCTTTTATCATATCATGGTTTTGCTCTCATTGCTATTCAAGGATGCGTTTCACTAATCTGTGTATTTGGAAATCGTGTATTCAAACAAGATGTTAGATTAAAATCTCACATTTAGAAGAATTATCACATAATTTTGACGAAATGTTCTTCGCGTTATTGTATAACACAGCGTATTTCATGTAATTTCTTAATTAATGTTAATCCATCTGACAATATGTATATCAACTTTTTCATTTGGACCTGAGATTTCATCTAATTGTGTTTATTGTAATAACTTTTTTATATTTATACTGAAGATGGTCAAATATTGACCGAAACGTCTATATATAGAGGAAAGTCGCCGATACTAACATAGTTCTCCTAAAATGACACCCCCTTATTTTTTGGAAACTAACTATTGCATTTTATTAATACTAATAAAATTATGATCTGTTTAGCTAATTAAAGAAGTACAAACTCATAATTCGTAGGTTCGTGGCTTGTTTCTATATCAAATCAGCTAAAAACGAATTCTACAAATGTAAAAATAAAATTCTTACGATTTTTTTTTGCAAATTGTGAGGTTTAAATAATAGTGACTGTATTATTGATAATATTACGTCATTTTAAATACTTGTAGTTTCCGAAATAAGATTTATTTATATTATTTTATCTCTTAATCTTTTCATAATACGATTTTTAATTTAAAACTGGGGTGCAGCGTAAACCGACACACCTGTCCGTAAAACAGACCATGAACTAACTTAATCTTTATAATGTTGCTTTATAGTGTCAAATAAGTCTATTGGAGCTGAAGACAATCATGCATATATGGAACAACTCTAGAAAAACTATCGCGTTACATATTTGCATCTTGCAGAACAGCATAAAGTAATTACGCATATAATTCAATAAAAATGTTTTATAACGAAGTAAAATGATTCTGAAAAATCTTATATACATTCACTTATAGGTACTTTATACAGATAATTCCTGTAAAAGAAAAAGAATAGGAATACGTAGCATTACTGCCTACTGTGTCAGTTTTGGAGCCTATTTTGTCAGATTTTTTTGCTCATTTTTGCATAACTTACGAAAAACTTAATTATTGCAAAATTGCTAACAGTATTATAAAAGTTGCTTATACTATCTGATAGAAGACACTTTTTACTTTGTATTTATGTTTTTGAAGTTGTATTTTACCTTTTGTTTAAGAAATAATGTCTAAAAACAAAGTGGTATGTCGGTATCGGTGACCTTTCTCTAATTATAATTTTAAATATATGGCTATAACTGAATACATCTAGCGTTGTGGCTGAATGCTCCTTATTGTTGACATTTTTAAAATGTTTGTTTTTTAATATTATTTAAGGATATCTAGTCGCCAAATTAAGTGCTCGTTCCGTTGGGCAGAAATTCGACCTCCAACATATATAGGTAACGCGGTCAACACA